AATCAGTCCTCTGTATATCTATATATATAAAAATGGGAATATCGCACTTCTGACAATCGCTGCAAGTGTGTGGGCTAGATTTGGAGAATCCGTGCTTTTCACATAGACAATTGTATGTGGCCAGCTCACGCGTCGGACAAAAACCCGATTTATTCTTGTAAGCACCAGACGAAAAAACAAAAAATATCGTGTATCCACAAGCACTCCAATAAATAAATAGAATTGAAACAACACTTTGAAATGTTTTCCCAATGAAAATGAATAATAACAAGTTTCAATAAAAATGATAAAACGTAAATTGAATTTTATCATAACGAGTTTGCTTGAATTTTCTTTCTTTTGAGATCGCAGCAATGCGCAACGGGTAATATGTTCATTGGTACTAACAGTGATTTATTTTTAACAGATTACCATGGCTGATTATTCAAACAAACTAGTAGTTGTAAAAGAATAAACCATTTTTAGGCATTAAAAGAGAGGAAATCATAGAAAAGAGATACTAATAATTAAATAACTGATCAACCATAGTTATTAGTTATCCCTGCATATAATTGAAAAGTTGTAACAGTACTTAACATATGAACAAAATTAATGTTATAACATTTTAATTATTATTTAAAAACTACTGAACTATTAACCATATTATGACATTATTTATTACAGTTAATATAAATTAATTTTAATTTTGAAAAAAAATAATAATAATAATATAGGTCAGGAATACATCTCTGGTAGTATACCAGAAATATAAGTTCTTTATGAACCTAATCAAAAATTGTTTTTAAACGTTCAAAAAGCTTGGAACTTTTTAAACAATAGCTAAAAAAATTAACTTCTAAGCCTAGAAAACAAACGATTTTGAACTGGAGCCTTTTGAGCAAAGTTTACTAAGCAATATAGTGCTCTGGCTCCAACAAAAAGTGAATGCTTCAACTAGCTCAGGCTCCAAAGCCCTGCTCTCCAATACTGCCAATGGTGTGTGTATCACTGGCCAGATGGTCAAGATAGTTAAAACATCAGGCTACTGGTTTGAAGGACTGGGATCTAACCAATGATCCCAAGCATTAGTCCAATATAGGCCCATCATGGAAGTCTACAACCCAAGTTGTAGTTATTTTCAAATTAGAAAATGCACATTGTGACAGGACAAATGGCTCTTCCACAGCAGCCCACATCAATATGAGGTCCAGTTGTTTTAGAATTTCAATTAATAGATTCTGTTTGCCATGAGTTGGACATCTGTTCATATGGACTGTATCATAGTGGCTTACAGCTTGAATTAAAATAAGACTTTTTTCATTATCTTTAATCCAATAGATAACCTCCTTCTCATGTATCGCTGTCTTTCAGACCTCCTCCATCTTAAATCCAATTGCCTGTTCATGCAACTGCTTGCATAACCCAGCAACAACATAGACATTACACAAAAACAGCCCTAATTACTGTGTGGTGTCTTCTATCCTGACATAGTCATTGCCGAAGCAATGTCAACCCTTCAGTCAAATGGTGCAGAAGAAGAGGAGGCACTTCACACAACCATGAATTTGTAATATTGTTAAAATGCTTTCCTGTAATCTATGTATGCCATGTATAAGTTTTTGTTGTTTGTGCACTTATTGTAGAATGATTGAATTTGAGTATATCATTTTTGTTTAACGAATAATACCAAAGAAAAATATTTTTTGTTCAACAGATGNTTTTTTTTAATTTCATTTAACTTATTTTATAACTATAAAATGAACTGTTAATGGAAAGAAAATGAAAGAATGGAATGTTTTAAATGATACCAACTGAACTGTGTCAGTTAAGTGTGGAATTAGTATACATTCAAAATCTGACTTTAATAGTTCTAGATTTGCAGTAACTTTCTAGGTTTGTCTGCAACCAAAAACATCCCAAATATTTTAAGTGAAGCAGAAAAAATTAATTATTTAAATGCAATATTTAAAATGCTAATTCTATTATTCAATTTGTCACAATACTCTATATTTTGTTTACATATCATTATTAAGAATATGAACAAAGTAAGTTAAATATTTTGTGCAAAAATAATTTTATGCTTAAAAAATTTATTGCTTTCTAGAATATATTAAAGTTTTCTAAAATTCAACATTTTTCTTTGGACTGAGAACTTATTAAAGTATGATTACACAAAGCATTATATAGTGTCAGCTACATAATATAGCTGCATGAATATCTTTTCCTTAATGTGAAGAATCAATTTTTCATTTACTTCTATAATCTACATCTTAATATTTCAATTTGCAGTTCAGATCCATCCCCGATATGCCTAAAATTTCTTACCTTTGAAAACTATCCCAAAACAAACATAAATCCACAAATAATTTTCATATTTCGTCAATTTCATCATGTTATCAAATTACTGTATTTACTCGCATATAGGACAAGGTGCAACTTTAAAGATCAAAATAAAGAAAATTAATTTATTAATACAATTCTAATTTTATTTCATTTAATCACAAGTAAAGTATCAAATGAATGTAAATGCACACATTGTTCCACAAAAATTACTGGCATTTTAAACTTTAAGGAAAAACCTTGTAAAATCGACAACATAATTAGTTCATGTAAAGCTGGACAATCGGGAACTTTTTTTTTGCCAATTCTTAACAGTTGAATCCACTCGCCATCAATTACACTTATGACTTTCTCTGAATTCTGAATAATCATCTGTTTTCACATGGGAATGGATTGAAACTTATATTGGACTTCCGTATGATTTTGAAATTTCAATCTGGAATTCAATTCAAAAGCTTTGCTTTTCCTATTGCTATTCATCTTCACTCCTGACAATATACATGAACGATTCAAATGACCCAGATAAAATACTTATGTTTTTAAATACAAGAGAGTAAGCATCTGGTAAAAATTGTGAATACACGGTTCACAAAAATTATTTGCAAAAACGCAAAGAATCTTTTGCTCGTGTGTATAGGACGACACAGGAATTTGAAGCTGTGATAAATGAATAAAAACCTCGTCTTATATCTGAGTAAATACAGTAAATATACTCAAGGCTCTTTTAAGAGAAATTTTATATTCAAATATAGTTAGATTTTCTAGTGCTGTAATTAAAGAATTATAAGTATTGTGAAAACCTTTCTAACTAATATTAATTTAAATTTTAAAAATATTTAAGTTATAAAATATAAAAGTTGTTATGTAATGCTATAATTAAAGGTAAAGCTTTTCAGCTTTACCTTTANTTAATGTCCTGATATTAATTGATTATGCAACCTGTCATAAGACAGTCAACCTGAGCAATGTTGAAAAACAATTCTTTCCAATAAATTGCTCAGGAATTCTGCAACCACTTGACACTGGCATAATAAAATGTTTTAAATCTAACTACAGACATCACCAAGTGAGGAAAATTATCAAAGACATCAATGATGAAATTCCTGTTGAGATGTCCCTGAAATTTGCACTGTGTATAATTAGAAAATTGTGGGATGAAGCGACATCCAAGACAAAAAATTGTTGGCTCTACACTGGCCTATTCGGAGAGAAGACATAAATTGATGAGGATTATAACAACAGTGTTTGAATGTTATGTTTAAAATATTGCTGAGATCACTACCTAACTTCCATAATCCAACTTGCTGCTGAAGAATTGATTGAAATCAGTCTTAATGAGGATAATTTTGTGGAGTTAACCTCAGAAAAAATAGTTAATTCTGTAAAAAAAAAAAGAAAATTCAATTGCAGGAAGAAAACAAAGTCGATCAAACAAAGACATAGAAAATCCTCTAGCAACTGCGAAAGCAGCTCCAGTTTGTCTAAAGAAAATTCGTCATTTTCTGTAAGTGCATCCAATAAGGATTATCTGATGCATGTTGACTCATTGGATACATTTATCTCTACAACTCAAGAAAATAATGTAGTTTAAACTACTTTGGACAAATGACAATTATCATCATCTTGACATTCCTATTTGCATATGGTTTTCAATAAACAACCACCCTCACCATTCCACCATGGCCAGAAAACCAATGGTGGCAGTTTAAAGAGGGTTGATGGTAGTATTAAAATAAAAATATGTACATAGCTGCCTACAGGAAAGATTATAATTTGTTTATGATTTTATCTGAAATATTCTTTAGAATTTTTTATATATAAATAAAAAATATAAAAAGCTGCAATAAAATGCTTTGATAAATTTACTAAAAATCCTATAAAAATAAATTACATTTGACTGGTCTCATATTTGTAACAAGTATTCAATAAAATACATATGTAAAATTGTAAAAATTAATTATGCAATTAGAGAAATTTATTTAGTTTACTGTATATTTATTTCTGATATAAGAATAATTAGATTCATTGCTATTATTCAGAATCTAAATACAGGGTGTCCCAAATTAAACTTGACATTTCTCAACTGGCTACAGCAAAAACTATTCATCAGAAAGTCATGAAAGTTTGAGAATTGTATTTTTTAACATGATGATGGGAATCTTTTTCAAGAGCAAAAATAATTAGTTCCAAAAACCACCACTACACTAGAGGGCACATTATAGCTTTATATAAAACTTAACAATAGGCTATACAAATTATGTCTAATGTGAACAAAACATGTTGGCCACCATTGTCTGCTACCATCTAAAAATGTAAAACAGCAAGTTCAATGGTTGCATGCAGAGTATGCCTTGGAATGTTAAGCACATAGCATGCAAGGGTGTCCTTAAAGTCTGACAGCAATGTTATGGAATCATGCTAGACTAAGTGTTTGAGATAGACTTGAATCCATGTGATTTTTGGCTCTAGGGCTGAGGATTTTGCAGGCCAATATTCCACTATTACAGCTTGAAAAGTTTCCTCTAGTGGTTGTTTTTAAAACTAACTATTTTTGTTTTGGAAAAAATTCCCATCATCTCATTAAGGTATTCCCAAACTTTCATAACTTTCTGATGAATAGTTTTTGGTATAGCCAACTGGAAAATGTCAAGTTTCATTTGAGACACCTTGTATTTTATGTTGACAATTTACACGTTCTTATATACATGGTGTCCATAATTAAAGTTTCTCTATTCAGAGCACGCTAGCTGTAATCAGTAAGCAGATTGCATAGTCTATACAAATTTTGGTCTCAAAGGATGTATAAAAGAAGAATTTGCAATATACACAAAACAAAGCACGATAAATAACAAAGACCTTAAAGTGATATTTTAATGTATTATTTTAAGGTTAATGTCAGACAAGCATGAAAATGCACTGCTGTTTTGATTTGAGGATGTAAAAATTCATAAACAGAAAGGCAGTGGTCAGACAAGTTCTATTTTTCACAGAATGCATTGATAATCAGTTTCATTTCAGATGCATGTTTAATGTCAACATGGATCTCATAGAGTGTGATGCACTGTGTTTTTTTTTTTATTATTATTATGTACAGAACTATTTAAAAACAAAAAAGAACATACCTGATATTGCCTATGTCTTTTTGATTGTAACCAGCCTTCCTTTTTCTTATTTCTGTTTTTATAAAGTTCAAATGAAGTTTCTCTCACTAATTTGTATGATCGTTTATTAATATCCTTGTCCATTTTTTAGAATATGCAGGTACAGTACCATACATCCTTTGGCAAGAACAATGCTGACCCGGTATTCCCTTGAAATAACGTTAACATATTCATCATTTTTCATGCTCATCTGACGACTATAGGCTTTGAGTGTATATCCGAGTGCACAATGGTCATGCAATGTCATGAGATTATCATAGACAATCTGACAGCCCGTCCATGTTCTCCAAGGTAGGAAACTGGTCTTGACATGTTGGGGGCCTAGCGACAAGTATAGAGGATCCGAAGGTCCTGCCTAAGTCTCAGCCATTGATGGAGTCTTTAGATTCATTAGTAGATTCTGGGCATGTTCCTTGTGGAACAAATAAATAGATTTGTCTTGTGTTTTTTTTTCCATAAGGTGTGCTTTAAAGGAAAATATATGGAAGTTTTTAAACTAAACTTTTCTGATAAAAATTACCAGGTCAAATAAATTTAAACATATAAATTTAAGAAAAATTTTTAAATTCTTTTATGTATTGTCAAAATAGACAATATATAAAAGAATTTAATATTGTCTATTTTGACAATACATAAAAGTGTCTTCTTTGTCCTTTTTGCACACACAATGAAATTAGACAGTGCCTAAAAGTCTAACTTTGTCCTATTTTAAAAATTATTCTTAAATTTATGTGTTTAAATTTTTTTTGCAAAATCACTTCCTGCATCCTTTGCATAGTCTGCATGCAAATTTTGGTGTCAATTCATTTATTGGCTACAGATACAGTGCTCTAAATAGAGAAACTTTAAATAAATTTACAGGGTGTCCATTAATTTAAAAAAAATTGTATATATGATTTTTAAAATATTTTCGGTTCAAGGTTTAAAAATTTCATCAATTTTTCTTAATTCAGATAACTTAAAGAAAAGAATAAAATAAAATAAATCATTGAAAATAATTCAAAGTTATAATTAGTAATTATCCTTTTTTATAATTATTTTATTAAATTAATATCACAATTATTAACAATGTATTAAAAATATATTTTTAATAACAAAATTAAATTGATAGATGATAAATTATGTACAATAATCATTTGAGGCAATTATTTTATAAACAATTTTAATTACACATACACATTTTAAGAACTAAAATCTCTCAAATACAAATAATTTTCTTTTTATCAATATAAAAAATATTTTTTATTTGTAAAATACTCAAATTATTCTATAGATTAATTACATTTATGGCTAAAGCATACTTAGAATATCAAGCTTGATATGTATGGCAGCATATTTTATCATCAATTTTACAAGGTTAATTCTTAGAAATTACTTAGAACAAATTATTATTTAAAAAGGAAAAAAATAAATAAATGAATTGACATAATTAATCATTTAATTACTGTAACATTCATTTACTTTTATTTGGCTTCTATGAAAATATTCAATACATTATTTATGCTGTATACTATATACAATAGACAAAGCATAAACTGTTGTGCCGTTTTTAAATCAATATCTTTACCTAACAATCATGCATACTGCAAAAATCATCATTATAATATTAATGGATTTATATGTCCATTAGATAACATCAAATTCTCTGATTTTAACTCATTGTTGCTTTTAACTTCTTTTGTTGCATCATAATCATGTTTTTTACAAATTACTAAAAAACAAGATATTAAATAATGTTTTGGATGGGGTTTTGTGCAAGCATAAAGAACAAAAAAAATCTGTATATATATTAATATCCCAAATAACAGCCATACTACATAAGGAATGTCTGGTAAATGGCTCAATAAAGTCTCCTTTTTATCTATTCTTTTATTTTCTATAGAGTGATACAATCTTGTATGTTCTAATGAAAGGATGTTATACTGATCAGCAAGTTCAAACAAGTAATAAATGGTTACAACAGTCACACCTAGATAACCAAACAGCATCACCCAAGCTATTCTTTGACGAAACTTCATCCTTTTTCCCAGCCATAAGAACAAGAGGTTTTTCACTTTACTTAATTAGTAGGATATTAGATCAGATTATGAGTGGCTACAAAATAAAAAAGTTAAATAATTAGAAACATTAAGGATTTTCAAATTTATAAAAATGTGATATAATTATAATTAAATTAATTTTTTAAATAAAATTAAACTTTGATATCTATATAATTATCTAACGATTCACCAGGCCTAAAACTCAAAGAATACTAAAATAGTTCATCAAAAGTTCTAAAAAATTATCTTTATTACNCGTGGCGCAGGGTCGGAGGAAAGTAGTTCGGCTGCTCATCCACTATTGGTCCAGACTCTATCAATCTTGTCGCGAAACGACGTTATAGGAGGTACGTTATACGAAAGTTGCTACAATTTTTTCGCTACGTTATAGGAATTGTCGTTATAGGAACGTACGTTATAGGGGGGTCGACTGTAAATCAAAATTTCATCTGGGAGGTAACTTTTCTCTCAATGAATGTATTTTATATGTTGAGTATTTGGAACATCTCTATCTATAATTATTTGACTTTGTTTTATTTGTCAATGAATGTGATATCTGAATGTTGTGACAAATTGTTTTATATGGTGTATATTTACAGCATGGTTGCTGAGTTTATAATAGTTTGTATTTGTATGCAAGCATTGGATATATTATGTTTCCAGGAGCATAGGAAGCATTTTGACATTGGTCCAGCACAGTGACTAAGGGCCCAGGGTTGAATCTTTGGAAAGAAAAAGTTTTCAAATAAATTATTCTAAAAGAAAGATTATTTAGTTTCTTGCTTTAAATAAAACAAACAAATAATATACTATGTAGTACATACATTGCATGTTTAACTTTTTTAAAAATATGTTTTAAAATATTGACCTGGTAGTTGCTGAACTGTCTCTACACCTAGTTTGATTATGTGAATGTAAATAATTTGTGTGCAAAAAGCTTGCAACCTGGTGTGTTCTACAGTTTTATGTATGAAGTGGCATTTCCTAAAATGATGTTTTTTGTCTTTTAAAATGTCCTTTATGTAGTTTTTTTGTATTTATCATCTGGTCTTGTATGATAATCACAACACGAGATCAACTTACTTTAACCAAATAACCGGAGTGCTTATGTTTAACTTTTAAAATATATATTATATTTTAAATATAATTTATCAGACTTCTATCCTCATTCAATTCAAGCTGGCCGTTAATGAAGAGCCCAGAAGGGGCTTCAAAAACATTTGCAGTTATCGAACATAAGCACTCCAGTTATTTGGTTAAAGTAAGTTGATCTCGTGTCATATATTCAACCTGGTGTGTGGTGAAGTTAAATGATAATCACAAACCTTTTTGTCTTTCCAATAGAGCTTTGAAGCATAGATCCTAATAATGCTCTGGTTTAGATCTAGCCAAACATTTAATTTTTGAGTGCATCATTTGAGATAAAATGGATTGAATAATACACTTCTATTTTGTTAATTTATTTATAATCTGTTTCTATCTCATTCTACTGTTTATATAAAATTTATATCAATATATCTTTTGATCACATAACATGTAATTGATATATCTGAGAATAGTATTAAAAACTATAACTAACATATAAATCTACATAAAATTTAGATCTATTGTACAGAAAACTCTATATATGGCATGGCATTTATATCCAAATTTTTAGAATGATTGTATTCCTTAATGCAGTATTGACTGAGAAACTGCACAACCCAAAATAAAACATTTTTGATTATATGATTTTCTGAGATTAAAGTCAACACAAGTATATATCTCCTTTGTTAAATATATATATAACCTTAAAAATGTTCTAGAAATAGAGCCTCAAGTTTTCATTATGTGTATAAAGTACAGTTCACTTTACAATAGGATTATGGAATCAGTTGGCTCAAAATGCAATGAAATAGCATTATGTCGGAACAAATCTGTATTACACAATTCTGGTATATTATGTATATGTTGTATGTTTATACAGGGTATATCTGAACCCATCAGAAATTGTGCTTGCATAAAATCATACTAAAATAAGTAAAAAAGTTCTAGTAAGCATGAGTTCTAAAGCAACCAAAAGCCTGAAAGCTTGGTTCATCCTGAATCAGTCCTCTGTATATCTATATATATAAAAATGAATGTGTGTGTGTGTGTGTCTGTCTGTCTGTCCTTCATGCATTACCACACTGTTTATCCAATTGTCATGAAACTTTGGGAAGTTTTTTAATACAATCCCACGAAGGTTTCTGGCATAGTACATTTATCTTATGATAGATGACACGCGTGTATACGAGCATTTACTGTGTGTTTGATCGATTTCAAATTGTGAAGACCATTTCCCCCTCCAAAAAAATCTCTCTATATATACATTTGTTATTTACGATATTTGTAATAATTTTTGTTTAATCACTTTATTTCAAATTTTTTTTGCTAATTACGTATTCGCTTGAACTTTGTTAAAACCTTAACTGTATCCCGAACAACAACCGAAGTTGTAGGAGGAAATTCGCATATTTTACCAATCTAGGGATCCCCTTTTCAAATTTTAATGTCAACTCAAAATAATTTAAAAAGACAAATTACAATAAAACGGTTTATTATCCAATTATCAGAAATTTCACAACATGCCAAGGAAGAGAGAAAGGAGCAATTAAATAATTAAAATTGTAAAGGATTAAAAAATATATATAAAAATGGGAATATCGCACTTCTGACAATCGCTGCAAGTGTGTGGGCTAGATTTGGAGAATCCGTGCTT